ATCATCTATCTGTCTATCTATCTGTCTGTCTGTCTGTCTGTCTGTCTGTCTGTCTGTCTGTCTGTCTGTCTATCTATCTATCTATCTATCTATCTATCTATCTATCTATCTATCTATCTATCTATCTATCTATCTATCTATCTATCTATCTATCTATCTATCTATCTATCTATCTATCTATCTATCTAGAGCGTGTGTAAGCTGCTGGTTAGGTATCATATTTCGCTGCTGAAGAGTTACACAAGCGGTCTGTAAGTCTTACATATTCAGCAGCCTGTTTCTTTAAATCGCAGAAACCTCAGCTGTGCTACCATTGGACAAAGAGTGCACCGCCCGCTTACGCAAACACGTTTGATTGGCTGATATGTCGACGCCCATGTAAATGAAATATATCCGCAACAACGTCACTTTCCAGTCCCAAAACTGTACTGACTGTGACAGATAGTGCGGGAGAAATGTCCCTTACCACAGCGGCTCGTCTCCTCAGTGCTCCCCTCAGGAGTGTTTCACAGCCCCGCGCTGCTAATGCGAGCAGAGCGTACGCGGCTGCGGCTCAAGCGGTGCTGTCGGTGCTGGAGAGCGAGCTGGACGCTATCCGGACAGCGGGCACATGGAAGGGGGAGCGGGTGATCACCTCCCAGCAGGGGCCGCGGATCTCCGTGGACGGCAGCAGAGGCGGTGAGCTGCACAGCAGAGCCAAAGAGTCAATTATAACACAACATCATCTATGGCTAATACAACAGAATGGTGGTATGATTAGGCTGTGCATTCCTGGAGGCACCTATCCTAGGGAAACAGTCAATAGCATGCTGTTGTGTTAGTTTTCAACTTTGCTGCATAAAAAAACCAACACCTGTTTCCCCCATAAAATTCAACTTTATTTTGTAGCTGCATGTGAAAGTATAAAACAAAGACGCAAACACGCAATATAAACTGGTTAACAGGGAGGGAGGCTAAAACGGTGAATTATCAGTAATAAAATGTGAATAAAAAATAGTTTTCAGAATTTTAAAGCTTGTCACATTTATGAAATTGTACACATTATATTTATATACAGTTGTTTTATAAAATATATTTATATAAAATTATGTGAAGTGAAGTAAATGGTTGGCTCAATTTATGCTTTATATTATTTTAAAACTTTTATAAAGGTTTATGTTTAGATACTTGAAATAAGTAGAATTTAGGATTCTCAATATTTTAAAAAACTCTTCTAAAGGTTTATGTTTTGATGCCTGAAATTAGTAATGCAGAGTAGACAAAAAAATTATGTTTACTAACGTTATATACACTAACAGTAGTATTAATATAATAATGTATTGTATATTTATTGTATGCATACTATTTTTTTTTAAAATATTTATTATATTTCAATTTTTATATATTTAATTATTATTATGTATTTTATTATATATTTTTTAAAACAATTGCAGTTAAAAGTTTGGACGCATATGACTGAATTTACGTTTATTATCATCTTACAAATCTGCTAAAAGTTATATGAGTAGTTCTCTATTTACTAATGTTTTATATTATTTATTAAAGTACTTATTGTAAATGTGTAATGCCCAAATGAGTAATGCACAACTAGCAGAGCTGAATAGCTCAAATAAAAGATTTTATTTTTTGTTTCTCTTCATCTTCTGAATAATCATGTTTAACAGTCAAATTTAAGGTGAAAAACTACATTAACCATGATTCTGCTGAAAAATCCCCACCAATAAGAAAATCAAAACAAGCAAATTGCTACAAAAGAGCTCTGTAGTGACAGTGAAGCACTACAAAGTGAACCAAATGGTTTAAATAATTATGTGAATATATATATATATGTATGTATGTGTGTGTATATTTTAGGGCTGTGCAAATAATCGAATATACTGTATATGAATATATTCATTCAGGCCCATTTGTGTATATGTATACATGTATGTATTTTAATATTTTGTAATAAACATAAAATGCATTGCTTCTATATGTATAAGTTACGGCTTTAAATCAATAGTTTTATATTTATCCAACGTTTTTATAGATTATCATTAGCAAGGCTTTATGAAAGTAGTTCTATCCCTCACCATGGCTAAGTACACAGTCTTGTACTTAAGCCTTTTTTTTCAGAATTTCAAAAACTTTTTTTTTTTTTTAGTTCAAATCAACTTTTTTAATGTAGTGATTCATCTTGTAGTTGGTTGATTTGGTTCATGGCTTTATTTTTCTTTAAAGGGGTCATATGATGCGATTTCAATTTTTCCTTTCTCTTTGGAGTGTTACGAGCTCTTGGTGCATAAAGAAGATCTGTAAAGTTCCAAAAACTAAAGTCTCAAATCCAAAGAGATATTCTTTATAAAAGTTAAGAGTCAATCACGTCTACCTAAAATGACTCGTTCTAACACGCCCCCACATATCTATGTCACGATGTGGGAAGATTTGCATAACACTGCCCAAATGTTCACACAAAGAAAGAATGCGTAACTTTTATTCTCGCTGTAGTATTGTTGTTACTGCAGCCGCCATGTTGTGAAGGCGCTGTGTGATTCGTTGTGAAAGCGAAACTACTTTGTTTGGCCTTCCAAAAGAGGATGATATCCGCTTCATCATGCCTAGAGCTGATCCGTGCTGGTCGCTGAGGAAATACATAAACTTTGCGCTGTGGATTGCTGGATTGGCTTTCACCGTGGACAAAGCGGAGTCCAGCCCGGGACCGTCACATGTGGTTGCCGCAAGCCCCTCCGGCCGCTCCTTCGTCGAATCTGCCGGCCGCACCGTTCTCAAGCCCGCCGGCCTCCGCTCACTCAGCTCGCCTGCCGCCGTTCACTCTAGGCCAGAGATCCTCAAATCTGGCCCATGAGATCCACTTTCCTGCAGAGTTTAGCTCTTACCCTAATCAAACACACCTGAGCATGTTAATCAATGTCTTCAGGATCATTCGAAAATCACAGGTAGGTGAGTTTGATCAGGGTTAGAGCTAAACTCTGCAGCGCATTGGCCCTCCAGGGCAAGATTTGAGGAACCCTGCTCTAGGCCATACACAAAATAATGTTCTTTTAGCAGCATCATATGACCCCTTTAATGAGTACGCTTTCTAAAAAGCCCTCAGAAAGGCGGGGCATAGAGGAGAAACAATAATGCAACAATAATGTTTATAATAAAACCGCATAAACACATTTCATTACACCAAATACACAAATGCTACTGCGATCAGCGAAGGTCAAAGGATATTTGTATATTTTCGGTATTGACAGAATGAATTACTTTCTCTATGATTAGTAGTTGCTTTTTTACAGCAGTCTTCTACACCAGCTATATACCAAATGTGTCTTGACTTTTATCAGCTAAGACATGTCACATTAGCATTATTAGCAAGTTTGTACAGATCATGCTCATGCTGTCCATAGGTGGGTAAAAATAAAAAGGTTATGCCATTTAATGTATTTTCTCTGATTATTTACATGAAGGTAGTTGACTACTTAAATGTACTACTTTCATAACCTACAAAATACAAGTCCTGAAATATACTCTGTCTCTCATACAGCTGTATAAAACCAGACCTTAATCTTGATGTTGAATAAACAAAAAGCCCATTTGTGCAGTGCAATGTCCATACAACAATTTATCCAACAACATGCCAACAGGGGGCATGTTTTCACAATGGAAACAACAGCCTATTATAGACCGTTTTTTAATGACAAATAGTCAAGTCAAGCACTTAAAGGGGTCATATGATGCGATTTCAAGTTTTCCGTTCTCTTTGGAGTGTTACAAGCTGATTGTGCATAGATAAGATCCCTGAAGTTGCAAAGACTAAAGTCTCAAAACCAAAGAGATATTCTTTATCAAAGTTAAGACTCTGCCACGCCCCCCCTAAAACGGCTCGTTCTAACACGCCCCCACATATCTACCTCCCTATGTGGAAATATTAGCATAATGCCGCCCAAATGTTCACGCAAAGAAAGGCGGCGTGGTTTCAGTAACCGCAGTTAGTGTTGAAGCAGCATGTCAGGGAGACGCTGTGTGTTTCTAGGCGAAAGCAAAAGCACTTTATTTGGCCTTCCGAAAGTAGATGCATTTAGAAATCTTTAAGATTACTTACAACAGAACAGCAATGCATTTTATGGACGACCGTTTCGTGAACCTAGGAAAGGAGATAATTCTGACTTTGCTATGACAATCTGGCGCTTCTGAATCAGCTACT